TCCACCATTGCAAAAATGTCTAATTTGAAAGAATTTAGACCAAAATACCCTTATTAACAATTTATAATTCCATGCTAAGACAAAAAAAAAGGATATTTTTGCAATATTGTTATTGGCCAATAAAATTTTGACACATAATCTGTCATATTTATTTCAAAAAGTATACATGTCAAATCACAATAAATACTAAATGTCATGTTCAAAATGAAATGTTATTCTAGATAAATGAAACGGTGTTCAAATGTCGAGAATGATATATGAAATGTCGAGAAACATTATTTTAATGTAGCTTATCATGAAAGTCACTTCTCAAAATTCGTGACAAATTGATAAAAAAAAAATCAAATGTCAAGAATATCATTTCAAAATGTAGCTTTTCATTAAAGGCATAATAAACAAGTTTTCCCTAAATTCAAATGAGTGAATACTTTTCAACTCATACTCTTAAAATTGGACATTCTTAAAAATGCCTCACAATAATATCTCACCAACGTACTTCCGTCAAAAATTACAGATGACATTGTCAAGGTCTGATCCACAGAAACAATCATTTAAAGAAATTATGACAGTTCTGATGCTGTCCCTGGATATTCTAGCTGCATATCAGCTTCAAAATATTTTATTGTATCATTATTCACACTAAAAGAAGAAGAAACAAAAGAAAATTACTTTGTGGAAGCTGAAATAAATTTACCATACTGAAAACCGAAATTGCCAGTGTCCCTTTTCAAGCCCACATTCCAAGGACAGCTCATGTTTGTTAGCTTCGAATGTTTCAGAAGGAGTGAAGAGCCGAGCTGGGGGTACGGACCCCAGTTCACAGACTTACCATATGGGGTCGAGATTTTTATCATTTTTTATTACATTGGGCTCCACAGTGGGGTGACCTTGTGTGAGAGATCTGGTTTTATTCCGTAAAATGAATTCTGTACAATCAAAATTACTCAAGGAGGGAATAGCTGTACACAGTATTAAGAAAGACAAAGCAGCTAGAATGATTATTCATGCCAAACATGCAAGAGAATTCGGGTTACACAACACAATAGAGTACATGACTGTATAGTATATTGTACAATGAATAATTTTTATTTTATGTTTGTGCGGTAACTAAAAACAAAAAGAACCTAAAATCATATTCATTATACTGTCGAATATTGTGTACTGCACAATGCCAAAGAAATAGATAATGTTGCACACAATATTATTGTCCATTGTCATCTGTCGAGCTTACCAAACATAAAAGCTTATTTGTTATACTGTTCAATCCTATTCAGTACTGTGTAGTAGGCGTCCCGTCCCCTTGGGATTCATCATGCAATCTTGGGAAGAGAATACCTGATATCAGCACTCTTCAATGGGGTTGGAGTTACTTGCATGAACATATAATTCCCAGCAAAAAGATCACCAAAATGGGACTGACTTTCCTTCAATCTTTTCAAAATCTTACACCAACCAATCTTCACTAATCTTGCTTTTCGTCTCAACAATCTCTTCAAACTTGGAATTTTTATCCTCAGTTTTCTCCTGATATGCACCTTCCTGAATCGGCGGCTTCTAAACCGTCTGATCACCTTCTCTCTGATATCAATATCATGATAATCACCATCTTCATCAAACCAAAGTTCTGATCTCAATCTTTGGTAGGAGACCTTCGGTTTTGATCCCATCTCCTTTTGCAAGAAGGTAGTAGAGAAAAGTGGGTTGATCTTGAGTGAAGGAATAATCATGGCATGTCCTTATCTCATCTCAGGCTGTAGCAAAAATTTCATTTGAGGTCATCCAACTTGTTTGTTTATCTCACGTTGATCCCTCAACTTCAATTTGTTTCTATATAATATAATAGCTTAGCTAATATTTCTGTTTAAATTTCATCACTTTAATTTAAATTTAAATTTTCTATCGATAATCTTTTCTAATGGATACTTTGTAACCTAGGCAATGGAAAGTTTTTTCATAAGCAAATTGCTAGAAGTTAATCATTTTCTGAATTCAATTGTTGATGTTATATCAAAATACGCTTTTCTTTTCTTTTTTCCTCTCTCTCTCTCTTAATAACCTTTGTTTTGCAACTTTCTATAAATTTTCAACGAGATACTCAACAAAATCATAGGAAACTCATAAAATGATAATTATCATATGATTGACTGGATTACTAATTCGTTAATTTTGATAATAAATCTAGACGGAATGATCAACTTCATTTTGACCATTACATGATATCCAAAGTAAATCAACTTACATGATTGTCTTATGCAGGTAAAATTTGAATTCGATGACTATTTCGTCTATATTACATACCAAAACTATCGAAAAATAGAAAGAAGGGTCAAATTGAAATAAATTGAATTTAAACGACAAACACAAAATAAATTTGTAAGTTGGCTTACCTCCGATGAAATTGTTACATCCATACGTCTCTTTTGTCATAATGTCTAAGTGGGTATTAGGTTTGCAGTTCTTTCGAAAGCATTAATTGACTCGTTAGGTCACACTGGTTGAACAGAACATGTCTGCTGTCTACTCATTTCGGTTGGTTTTGGATGCAAAATGTAAATAGGTGATGCTGATCCTTTTAATGCAGATTCGATTAGTATTTATTAGGGTCCATTTAGCAGATTTTTATGAGAAATTTAAAGTTATCTTAGGTTACATTCCTGTAAAAGNGTGGATAATGGATGCTGGACCCATCAAGTGCACGTAAGTCAATTCCAACACGTATGGACATGTGACTAGTCGACAATACTTCGGATTTGGACGTGGGAGAAACTCTATAACACAAGACGAATATGCTTGGACTCCAGCTATATATTTTAGGGAGTGATTCCGTAATAGTAACCAATCACAAACGACTCCAAGAAAGCAAAGTAATCTAAACTCCAGCAAAACAAATTTATAATCTGCAAAAGATAAGACATATTAGTAGCTTTAAGTGTATTGAGTTGGATTATCTTTCCAATGATATAAAGAGGGGGTATTTAAAATTTTACATATGGAATGATGTCTATTGGATGAAGATACACGTGACCTCATCTCTTTAACCAAAGCATCCAATCCTAGACGTTCATTTAAACTCACTAGCCTATGATGGTTTATCTTTGGCGGTTCGAGGAATCCACCGCCTCAGTGAGTGTGGCTTCGGGGGCTTGATCCACGTGGATTCATTGCGAGGGCTTCAAGAGGTCGGTCATGGAGTCTATGTGGCGGGGCGTAACAGTTGCCACTCAAAAAAAATAATAATAAAGGTAAGGTGATTAGCGATAGAAAATTTCGTCGACGATTATTGTTTTAATATTGTCGATGATTCTGATTATAATTAATACATGTCAGTAATTAGGACAAAATTACAACAATAATAGAGGAAATTTCATAAAATGTCCATTTTTACCTAGTCATTTGCAAAAATATCCACCATTGCAAAAATGTCTAATTTGAAAGAATTTAGACCAAAATACCCTTATTAACAATTTATAATTCCATGCTAAGACAAAAAAAAAGGATATTTTTGCAATATTGTTATTGGCCAATAAAATTTTGACACATAATCTGTCATATTTATTTCAAAAAGTATACATGTCAAATCACAATAAATACTAAATGTCATGTTCAAAATGAAATGTTATTCTAGATAAATGAAACGGTGTTCAAATGTCGAGAATGATATATGAAATGTCGAGAAACATTATTTTAATGTAGCTTATCATGAAAGTCACTTCTCAAAATTCGTGACAAATTGATAAAAAAAAAATCAAATGTCAAGAATATCATTTCAAAATGTAGCTTTTCATTAAAGGCATAATAAACAAGTTTTCCCTAAATTCAAATGAGTGAATACTTTTCAACTCATACTCTTAAAATTGGACATTCTTAAAAATGCCTCACAATAATATCTCACCAACGTACTTCCGTCAAAAATTACAGATGACATTGTCAAGGTCTGATCCACAGAAACAATCATTTAAAGAAATTATGACAGTTCTGATGCTATCCCTGGATATTCTAGCTGCATATCAGCTTCAAAATATTTTATTGTATCATTATTCACACTAAAAGAAGAAGAAACAAAAGAAAATTACTTTGTGGAAGCTGAAATAAATTTACCATACTGATAACCGAAATTGCCAGTGTCCCTTTTCAAGCCCACATTCCAAGGACAGCTCATGTTTGTTAGCTTCGAATGTTTCAGAAGGAGTGAAGAGCCGAGCTGGGGGTACGGACCCCAGTTCACAGACTTACCATATGGGGTCGAGATTTTTATCATTTTTTATTACATTGGGCTCCACAGTGGGGTCGACCTTGTGTGAGAGATCTGGTTTTATTCCGTAAAATGAATTCTGTACAATCAAAATTACTCAAGGAGGGAATAGCTGTACACAGTATTAAGAAAGACAAAGCAGCTAGAATGATTATTCATGCCAAACATGCAAGAGAATTCGGGTTACACAACACAATAGAGTACATGACTGTATAGTATATTGTACAATGAATAATTTTTATTTTATGTTTGTGCGGTAACTAAAAACAAAAAGAACCTAAAATCATATTCATTATACTGTCGAATATTGTGTACTGCACAATGCCAAAGAAATAGATAATGTTGCACACAATATTATTGTCCATTGTCATCTGTCGAGCTTACCAAACATAAAAGCTTATTTGTTATACTGTTCAATCCTATTCAGTACTGTGTAGTAGGCGTCCCGTCCCCTTGGGATTCATCATGCAATCTTGGGAAGAGAATACCTGATATCAGCACTCTTCAATGGGGTTGGAGTTACTTGCATGAACATATAATTCCCAGCAAAAAGATCACCAAAATGGGACTGACTTTCCTTCAATCTTTTCAAAATCTTACACCAACCAATCTTCACTAATCTTGCTTTTCGTCTCAACAATCTCTTCAAACTTGGAATTTTTATCCTCAGTTTTCTCCTGATATGCACCTTCCTGAATCGGCGGCTTCTAAACCGTCTGATCACCTTCTCTCTGATATCAATATCATGATAATCACCATCTTCATCAAACCAAAGTTCTGATCTCAATCTTTGGTAGGAGACCTTCGGTTTTGATCCCATCTCCTTTTGCAAGAAGGTAGTAGAGAAAAGTGGGTTGATCTTGAGTGAAGAAATAATCATGGCATGTCCTTATCTCATCTCAGGCTGTAGCAAAAATTTCATTTGAGGTCATCCAACTTGTTTGTTTATCTCACGTTGATCCCTCAACTTCAATTTGTTTCTATATAATATAATAGCTTAGCTAATATTTCTGTTTAAATTTCATCACTTTAATTTAAATTTAAATTTTCTATCGATAATCTTTTCTAATGGATACTTTGTAACCTAGGCAATGGAAAGTTTTTTCATAAGCAAATTGCTAGAAGTTAATCATTTTCTGAATTCAATTGTTGATGTTATATCAAAATACGCTTTTCTTTTCTTTTTTCCTCTCTCTCTCTCTTAATAACCTTTGTTTTGCAACTTTCTATAAATTTTCAACGAGATACTCAACAAAATCATAGGAAACTCATAAAATGATAATTATCATATGATTGACTGGATTACTAATTCGTTAATTTTGATAATAAATCTAGACGGAATGATCAACTTCATTTTGACCATTACATGATATCCAAAGTAAATCAACTTACATGATTGTCTTATGCAGGTAAAATTTGAATTCGATGACTATTTCGTCTATATTACATACCAAAACTATCGAAAAATAGAAAGAAGGGTCAAATTGAAATAAATTGAATTTAAACGACAAACACAAAATAAATTTGTAAGTTGGCTTACCTCCGATGAAATTGTTACATCCATACGTCTCTTTTGTCATAATGTCTAAGTGGGTATTAGGTTTGCAGTTCTTTCGAAAGCATTAATTGACTCGTTAGGTCACACTGGTTGAACAGAACATGTCTGCTGTCTACTCATTTCGGTTGGTTTTGGATGCAAAATGTAAATAGGTGATGCTGATCCTTTTAATGCAGATTCGATTAGTATTTATTAGGGTCCATTTAGCAGATTTTTATGAGAAATTTAAAGTTATCTTAGGTTACATTCCTGTAAAAGCTCTTCTAAATAGATAAAACACTTCAAAAACAAATTATTAAAAAAATTTTAAAGATAACTTTCTAGTCTTGAAAAAAAAATTGGTTTTTAAAAGTTGTGTTGAAGGACCTTATTAGCTATGCTATAGATTCTTGCTACAGTACCTGAGTTTTTTTGACAAAAAGGGTGACTGACTCTCACAATGGTGGGCCCCACTTTTTTGGGGACATTTTTATTCATGCGGGACCCACGACATGTGAAGATGTCACAACCATTCGGACAAAAAAAATTCAGACAAAGTAGCAAAATTCTATGCTATATTGAAAATCGTATAGAAAATTTATATTAATTTCTTGTTCAACTATGGATTCTCTTATAAGAGAAAATATTGCTATAATAGAAAAATTAGAATAGATAGAGAAAAATTATGATTCACAAGAATGAGCTCCTGTTTGGGCTCCATTTTAAATTTAATTCTTGTTTTTCATTTTTTTTCAGTTACACATTTTAGATAAAATAATATTACAAACAAAATTTTTCCTTCTTTTTTAATCAAACCTTCTTCAAAAAATTATTACTCTAATTTTTTTTTTCAAACCCTTATTAAAATGGAAACAAGGGCTAAGTTTTAATGGCATGATAAATTGTTGCAAAGAAATAGATTTCTCACTCACCCAAACTCTCAAGAGTATTTTCTATATGTTTATGTGTAGTA